TATTTTTTAATATAATTTTAACTTATAATCAAATAAATAAATATATTTAATATTATAAATTTTAAATAATATGTAAAATTATGTTTAAAATAATATAAAATTTTATTTTTAAATTATTTTTCATAATAAAATTAGAGAAAAAATTTGTGATTTAACAAAACGAACAGCCAGCCGTAAACGTCAGCCCGCCGTGTTGGACTAATTGTTGTTTGGTTGGGAGCTGCGGAATCGGGGGCAGTGCAGAATTCTGCATTTGGACTTTACTATGACTGTTGGATAGAATGACTGGAATGCCCTCGGCAATCTGCTATGTTGTGTGATCGTTTTGGGGCTGTTACGGAAATTTCCGGTTTCCTTCCTGTTTCCAGGACTGTACTGTAATAAATTGCAGTATTTTTCAGTCTCTTTCCTCTTGTAGCTGCTCCCAACTCCTATACTGCTCCATGACACTTACAGGTATTTTTAAATAAATAAATTCATTTTTTATAAGAAAAAAATTTCTTAACTGAAAAGCTTAAAAAAAAAAAAAAGGATAACCGCAAGTGACTCATAAGATGAGAGACTTTTTTTTATTTTTGTACAAATGGAATTGGAGTAAAAACAAAGGAAAATGGAGATAAAAAGGTTTTAACTCTCACGATGTGAATGAAAAACTCATACAATAATCATATAATCCATACACTAAGATGCAAGATGAGGACTAAATGGCGTCAGATTATGTATAAGTGCATTCTTTCATTTTCAGGGCAACGATTCGAATCTGATTTCTTGTCAATTTGTTAAAAAAAGAAAAAGAAAAAGATAAGGGACTCATTGTTTTCTCTAGTGGGCCAAAAGCAAATGACCAAAGCTTGAGTCAATTGAGAAACCGTCATTCATTTTCCATCAGGCTGCGTATCCAAGTGAAAATTGATTTCAGAAAACAAATACTTTCCATACATTGTACCTCTGCTCTGTAGTCTATTTACCCCAGTGAGAAAGTAGTTCATTGACCATACTTTTGCAAAAGCTCGGCCCATCCTCTCAATGTCCACCGAAGAACGAGGAAGGAACCGTTACTTCCCACTTTAATTTAATTTTTTTAATTTTCATAATAATAATAAAATTGATGAGGAATGCAACTCACGAGTGCAGCAGATCTCATTCTATTCTATAATTCAAAATTTTTTAAAATTTATTAAATGAAATTATACTAATAAAATTAGATTAACCTACATACTTCTGTGTGGTATTTATAAATAAACCTGCAACTACAAGGAATACGTAATTAGAATTGTCTTTTGAAATACGTACATATGATTAAAAACTTAAATTTTTATATTAAAATTTTAAGTTTAAGTTTTTATTTGAGTAATAATAAATTTAAGAAAAAAATAATTATATTCTATTATATAACTTATTATTCAATATATGATAAAAATAAAATAAAATAAAATAATCAATTAACCTCAAAAAGGGCCAAAATTTCAAAAGCTTCGCAGATACGTAGCAAAACATCTTTCTATTTTTAAAGGATTAAAACTTTAATTTGGGCTTTTCATTTTGATAAAAAGTTATTTTTTAGTCTCTCCATTTAAAAAACATTTTTTAAAATTTTTAAAGTTTGAAATTTGATCTGTTTTTAATCTATTTGTTAAGTTTTAGTGTTAAATGATGAAAATTTCAAAAGAAAAACAAAAAGAAAAGCTTTTTTTCCCAAAATAAAAAGATCAAATTGAAGTTATTTTTAACTTATTTTAATTTTTTTTTATCTTTTTATTTTAAAATTTGTATCATTTAATGTGTCACATATATAAAAGTTAACAAAAAGACTAAAAAAAGATTGAATTTTAAATTTTAAGAACCAAAAAGAGATTTTTTTAAATAGATAGACTAAAAAAAACTTTTTTTTACCCAAATAAAGAGATCAAAATGAGAATTTAGCTTTTCTAAATCATTTATGCACCGACCTTTATCTATAACTTATTTTAGCC